TAAAGAAGCAGAACACTGGCTAAAAGTAACAAAATGCTAGCTTAAAGTTAAAAGTAGCAGAACATTAGCTAAAAGTAGAAGAACAGTAGCTAAAAGAAGCTGAACGCTAGCTAAAATCTAACAGAAGCCTAGCACAAGCTAAATGAAGCAGAACACTAATTTCAAGTAAAAAAGGCAGAACACTAAAAACAAAAATGAAGGACACTAGCTAAATGTTAAAGAAGCAGAACACTGGCTAAAAGTAACAAAATACTAGCTTAAAGTTAAAAAACGCAGATTACTAGCATAAAATTAAAAAAGCAGAACATTAGAGAAAAGTAGAAGAACATTAGCTAAAAGAAGCTAAATGTTAGCTAAAAACCAAAATAAGCAAAAATCTTGCTAGAAACTAAAAGTAACAAAAAGTGAGATAAAAGCTAAAAGTGCAAAAGGACCAAAAGTATCTCAGGAAGACAAAAGCGGAGCTGGTTTGCTGAAGCAGAATTCAATAATGTTTTTAAGAAACTGAAGACGTCCGAAGGCATTTTTATGGGGAAACGTAAATAAAGTGAAATATTTTGAAACATATTAAGTTACAAAAGTCAGAGCACCCATCTCCAAAAAGAGATGAACGTTTTGTTGTGTGAAGTTTGCAGTAGCAGTTTAAAAGTTAAAAAAATAAATAAAATACACATATATATATATATATATATATATATATATATATATATAAATATATATAATGACGCATGGATGCTGACTCGGCACTCTCACAGTAATTCACCCTCTGCTGCTGCTCCCATCAGAAATCAAGCAGAAGAAGGAGAAGCAGAAGAAAAGGAAAGATTCGGAGGAGAAGAGCACCCTGCAGAGATCCAAGACCTTCGTCAACCTGCTGCTCAGAGGAGGACGCAGGAGGGACGCCTCCAGCGGTCGCTCCAAGTCCCCCAAAGGTAACTTTATCGATGCACTCGTTTTTTTACAGAAACTTCCTGCTCAGCCTTCACTGAGCAGCCTGTAAAGATGCCCGGCTTCAAACTTTAAATACTGTTTAGCTTACATTCCACCGTCTGAATGTTCAGAACGCTTTAAAAGAGGAAGCTTGATTTTACCTCGTTGTATTTTCACTGTGATGCTCTCAGTGGGACAAAAGCTCGGCGCCATGCCGAACTCGGAGATGCTTGGAGTGGTGGAGGACATGTCCCGCAGGCTGCTGACCGAGGAGGAGGTGGCTGCAGTGATGACGGCGTGCCGAAGGGTAGGAAGCTCTGCTCTCTTCTGAAGATTCAGCTCTAAATGATCAAACTCTTCATGACTGAACGTATCCTTCAGTATGTAGCCGAGCGCTCAGTGGAGGACTTGATTCGCCACCTGCTGGTTGTGTTGGACCGACCTGAAAAGCTGCTGCTGCTGAGGGAGATCCGGTACGGAGAAACTTATTTTTTATTCTTTGATGCAACAACTGAATAAAAACCCTTTGTAGGAGGTAAAATAATCTAAAACCAGATAAATTGTATTTCCTATGAAAAATGCACAATGCGAATGCTTATTGCTAAAGAAATGGCTGAAAAACAGCTGAAATTAGCTAAAAACATGCTGAAATGTAGCTAAAATGGAAGAACAAGCCTAAGATGGCAGAAGAAAGCAGAAAGAATACGTATTTGCTCAGTTAGGCTTAAATAAGCAGAAATGAGCACAAAAATTGGGAAATTAGCTAAAACAGCTGAAATTAGCAAAAATAGCTGAAAAGTTACTGAAAAGGCAGAAAGAAGCTGAAACTACCAAAAGGAAGTGGAACAAGCTGAAATGAGCTAAATAAAAAATGGAATTGGCTGAAAAAGCTAAATTTAACACAAAACCGCTAAAAGTAGCTGAAATAGCAGAAAAGGCTGAACTTGCAGAAAAAGCTGAAACTCCCAGAAATAAATTGAAAGGAGCATAGCAAGTTGAAATTAGCAGAAATATGTTAATTATGTTGAAAGTAGCAGAAATTAAAAACTTGAATGTATCTGAAAAAAGCTGAAATTAGCTAAAAAGTTTTTTTTAAGCTAAAAATGTAGAACAAGCTTAAATTAGCAGGAGAAAGCAGAAAGAACACGTTTGTCCAGTTGAGTTTATAGAAGAAGAAATTATCACATAAAGTAGAAATTATCTGAAAAAAGCTGAAATTAGCTTAAAAAAAAAAACAGCTGAAAATTTGCTAAAAAATTTGAAAAAATATCAAATTACCAGAAGGAAGTGAAGAGGGCACTAATTTTTTCAGAATTTTGCTGAAAAATGTTGAAATGAGTGCAAAAAATGTGGAATTAGTTGAAAATGCTAAAATTAGCATAGTCTGCTAAATAGTAGCTGAAATAGCAGAAAAAGTTTAAACTTGCAGAAATAAGATGAAAGGAGCATAACAAGCTAAAATTAGCATAAACTGCTAAATAGTAGCTGAAATAGCAGAAAAAGTTGAAACTTGCAGAAATAAGCTGAAATTAGCATAAAAAAGAAGCACAAAAATGTTGTAGTTCGAAAGAATCTGAAAGGAGCACAGAACAGCTGAAAACAGGTGAAAGTAGCTGAAAGTAGCTAAAAAAAGGAGCAGTAAAAGGTTGTAAACGGATCTAGAGATTTGAAGGATGTAAACAAAATGAGATCAATTAATTTTCTATGAGGAACAAAATGACAGAAAAGGCTAAATATTTCAAAAAGCTAAAGTTGCCAAAATACCAAAAATCACAGCAGGATTGTCCTGAAAGAGCTGAACGTTTTGATTTATGATTTGTTGAAATAGGTTGAAAACTGCGGGATGATATTCGTGCTGAAACATGTACGAAAGAAAAATGGATCACAGTAGTGTGAATGCTTCACAAACATTCACACAAATAAAAATAAAACCGTCTCAGTTTTGTGGCGTACGTCAGCCGGGGTTTCCTCTAAAACCACAGAGAAACAGCCGGGAGTGCAACAACGCCATCTTTTTCCTGTTCTAATTACCAGAATGCTGCTCCCACCGTCTGATCTGAGCGTGTTCAATAACGTCGTGTCTGCAGTGGAAATGGAAGCCTACGATATCCTCAGGTATCGCTCAGGTGAGCGTTGTGATCAAAAGGTGCCTCGTTTTCATCTGAACGATCCTGTGAAGCATTTAATCTGTAATATAATTATTCTGTTTAAAGTTGAGCAGCTTTTGTAATGATGAAGTATTTGTCTCTGCTCCGCAGTCCGAACTCCTCCTCTTCGATCTCCCCTGTCTGGAAGAGCCCCCAAACGGCGCCTCATCACCCCCATCCCGGGTCAGAACCATCAGTTTAACACCACTTCATTTCACTGGACCTTTTTCACACCGTTTTCTGATTAATCTTAATTTATGTTTACTTGAAATTTGTTACACACAAAAATACATTTTAGGT